AACATTCCTCACCCTCAAATCTCCAAGTGGATAATTCCCTATTTCCTCCAAGAGCCCTTCTTGATGTCCTAACTAGGCGAGAAAGCCTTTTTGATTTCCTTATAGTAGCCTATTTCTTTTCTTTACATGCTTCTCACTCAGGATTGTGTAATCCTGTCTTCCCCCACTCAGCCTGTCATTTCCATGAAGGCAGGGACATGTCTGTCTTGTTCACAACTTCATTCTCAATACCTCGTATTTTGGTTGGTGAAGGGCAGTGCAGACAAAGAGACACATGGCGGCACTCATGCTGGGTTTGAGGCATTCAATGGTTGTCACTGGAAATGGGAGTTGGCCAATAGTTTTGATCGGGGTCCATTCAGATGTGATGCAAGGCAGTGAGGTCATAGTGGGGGACAGGTGATGTGATCTTTTAGAGGACTGGATCACTCTAGACCAGTGGTTCTCAAACCAGGGGCGATTTTGCCTTCCAAGGACATTTGGCATGTCTGACATTTTTGATAGTCATGATTGTTTGTGTGTGTGTGTGTGTGTGTGTGTGTGTGTGTGCGCGCGCGTGTGTGTGCTTTTGGCATCTAGAAAGAAGAGGCCGAGGATATTCCTAAACATTCCATAATGCACAAGACAGTTCCCCACGACAAAAATTATCCAGCCCAACGTGCCAATAGTGCCAAGGCTGAGAAACTCTCTTCTAGAGATGGGCAAGCCAACTGGATAGCTCAGTTCCCATTTGGCCCATGCCTGCTATGGTCCAATTAAGTAAGAGCAAGAGAAGCTTAGTGGCTGTCACAGGAAATATGGACAGAACTTATGATGTACAGCCAGGAACCACCTTGGATTGGGCCTCAGTCAAAGGCCCCAGCACCTTGGGCAGTGTCCCCTTAACTGAACTCCCAGCTGTAAGCCCAGCAGGCCCAGCCTGGCCCTTGCCTCCTTCTGACTCATCCATTGGGTTTCTCTCACTCTTTGGTGGAAGCGGCCACCACACTCTCTTCCCACCCCATCTGCCTCGCTGATTATTTTCAGCTTGGCTTGCAGAGGCCCAACGCTGCAATTACACCCCAACCTCAATGGCTCCTTCTGAAAATAACATTTGGGTCGAAGAAAACCTCAGTCTGGTGGGCTGGATTTTATACTAAACAGTTAAAGAGTGGGTGTGGGCATGGGGTGGGGTGGGGGCGGGCAAGGGAGTGGCATGACGGTACAATTAAGCAAAGAATATGGAAGAACAGAAAAGGAAGTGAAGTGAGAGAAGGGGAGGTGGTGGTGAGGGTTATTGCAGAAAGAAAATATATCTAAGGCCGGGGTCAGCCATCTTTTAGAAATCTTAGTTCGAGTCTTCATTTATGCCTCTAATTGAGGGTTTGTTTGCTGAAATAACCCCCCACCCCCACCCCCAATCACCGAGGCCTGGGGAATTCATGTCTGCCTTGGGCCAGAAGAATTAGTCTATGGGCATACCAATCTTTATCCAAGCTAGTAACCAGATTTTCCAACCCCAAAATAGGAGCCACATGGTCTGACATAGGATTTTTGTTCTCATTCCAGGTGAGAATGGCAGTCTGGGAAATGTAGTTTGGTGGTGCTGATAGGCAGTTCCATGGCCTAAAAATGAGAATAGATAGAACCTTCAAAGTAGGAATTTGAAGGAAATCAGAGCTTTATTGGTTGCTTTAGTTCAGAGAAGGAAACACTAGAACTGAGAACCTTTGTCTCACCCAGGGAAAGTGGGAAGGGGAGACGTAGAGGTTGAGAAGAGAAATACTTGGAAGCATCTTTTGGATTTCAAGGAGGCAGACAGAAATAAAAAGGCTGTTGGAGATGAGATTTGGAAAATAGGCAGGAAGGAGTTTCACACATTAGTTAAGAGCTTAATTCTGGAGTCAGCCAGACTTAGGTTCAAATGTGGACTGACTAAACTACCTGGGTGATCTCCAGCAGTAACTCAGCCTCTTTGGATAGGCCAGCAGTGTAGACTCTAGAGTGAGGCTAGTAGAGTTTACATACTGACTCAGTGATCTTAGGCAAGTTACTTAACCTCTCTGTGTCTCACTTTTCTCCACTGTAAAATGAAAAGAACACCCACCTTCTAAGGTGTCAAAAGGGCTTAGAATAGTTAAAGTGCTTAGAACAGTGCCTGGGACATTGGCAATCACTCAACATATGTTAACTATTATTAGTATTACCTCCGGAGTTTTTCTCCAAATGTAATAGGTCAGAAACTTTTAGCTAACATATTTTTTATTTGGATAGTTATGAATTTATTTTCAAGTGTATTAAAATATGCGACTAGCACATCAAAGCTGTGGTTTCACTAATGTTATTGCTCGGGATAACGTTAGAACCTTTAAAGGCACATGGGTGGAGAAAGCAGGCGAGGAAGGTACTGATCAAGATGCTATCCAACTTTATACTGCAACTTTGTCTCTTTGCCCCTCTATAATCACTTTTCCTCCCTTTTTGAGAAATCGGTACGAAGGCCAGGCAAGGAGGCCTGAAGCCCTAATGAGGTTTTGAGCCTTGACAGCATTGTGAATTGGAGGGGAGGTGGGGGGAGAGTGGGTGGGTGCGCAGGGAAGGGATGCTGAATTCAAAGGCACAGCAGCTCTGGAAACCAAAAGCCAACTCCCCAACTTCGCTTTCCCGTCGCGTTTAGGGCGATTCGAGCCTTTCTGATTTTTTTGGAGCACTGGGTCAATCAGTCAGCCAATGCCTCGGGAGAAGTTTAATTAAGCTCAGATCGCCTGCGCGAGCTGCCAAAGGTCTCTCTGCCCGCCCCGCCCCCAGCACAGCGGTGCAAAGCGTTTTCCCCGCCGGGCCCGCAGGCCCACGTCCCGCGCATGCGCGTCGGCAGGGCGCCCAGCGCCCCGCGGCAGGCTTGGCTCCCGGATCAGCGTTGCAAACTGTTGCATCAGACAGCAAGCAGCCGGCCGGGCCGCCAGGGTTTCTAGGAAGATAGGAAGGGTTTGAGATCCTCTGTGGTCGCTTGGGAGTGCTGGCCGTCACTCACGGTGTTTACACGCTGGTAACAGGATCCCTTGAAATCTCAAGCTTGGGCTAGTCCGGAAGGGCCTTAGCCACAGGTGAAATTCGCTGAACTGCACTGCTCCTGCCCCACCCACCTCACGGCCCCGGGCTGGATCAGCTGAACTGAACTCGGTCGGCTTTATTAATGGCATGGGCCCTGAAGGAATGAGCTGGGTTTGATTTCTCTTCCCAAGCACAAGAATGCCCCTGTGGAATTTCTCACTCTGTGAAAGTGCAAAACTAATTTCCCCAGACAAGTGCTTGTTGCCGGTTCCCAAAAGGGCTTGGACAGATCCCAGCAAGAATGCTCAGTGGTTTCCAACTCTCTTCACTCCAGCAGCTGGACACGCAGACACTGACCACCAAGAACTTCTTGGTGGGTGGACTCGGCTTCCACAGATAGGCTTTCTTTTTGGCATATCTCAGACCCCCATGTTATGGAGACTTTGGACATGAGCCAGAGAATGCACAACCACAAACTCATGCAGATACCACACATAACGAGTTCTATAGATTCAAGTGGTACTGCAACTCAGGTAAGGACAAGTTATCCCCCTTACTCTCTGTCATTCTTCTGGTCTCTGGGCCACTGCCTTCCTCGAGGGGAGAGAAAATAATGCTGTATCTAGAAGGGATGGGACAGTCTTAAGGGGTGGGATATTCGAGAAGAATAAGAGTACTGATTTGGAATCTACTTTCTAAAGGGATTTCCAGGGACATAATCTGAATACTACGGTTCAATCCTCTCTTCATTTTTTTGGAATGGGTCAAGACCAAGATCATTCAGTATTAATAGGTTTTCCAAAAAGACGCAAACTTGCAATTTACCTTAAGCGTTCTGTCTTTTCTAGGGTGTTGATGTTAAAAATCTATTCCATTTGAATAATCTTGAAAGCGAAAACAGGCCTAGTGTTCTTCCTTCCCCTCATTATTCTGAATCACTCAATCCCAAGATTCAATTTAAAAATGACCTGAAAAACTCATAAGCATTATCCGACACATCCCTTAGTTAGTCACTGTTTAAACTAACATTTCCCTTTGAACAGTGGGGTATTATGGCACTATGGGCTTTTTCACTGTAGTAGATGCTTCATAAATACGGCCCAAGACATTTCAGTCATTGACAGTTATCTTGTGAATTGAAGGAGTGACAATAAGAAAAGGATGGAAAGGAATGTGGACAAGTGCTGGAGTTGGAGCATTTCCAGGCCCTGCTTCTGAGAGTATATCAGGGCCCAGACCTTCTGCCAAATGGGTGTCCCAAGGTAGTACATGGGATCAGAGGGCGTGGTCTCAGGAAGCTGCCTGGAGCTGATAGAATATCAGATATGTCTGAGCAGTAGTCTTCACCTGAAGAAGCAAGTCATTTACTATTGTGGGGCCTCTCTAGGCATGAAAGTGGGAGCCATGAGGTCAGGAGCCAGGTGGGAATAGGAGAAAGTGAGCTCATAAGTTCGTGTTGGATTCTATGCTATACTCCCGGACCTACAGAGAGTGGGCTCTCAAAGCATGTTGGTAGAATAAATGCACGGAAGAACGAGGGAAGTAGCAGAGGGAGGAAAGGTCAGAGCAGCCCAAGGATTCTGTAGGAGGAAGCTTGGGATGCCTGGGGTTCTCTTGTGTTGAGTAAGAGGGGAATTCTTCTAGTTCAAAGGTATAGGGCAAGAGACTGAGAACTGTAAAGTGACAAGTCTCATGCGGTCCCTTCTGCCTTGGTGTCCCTGTTTGGAAAAGCCTCCAGTTGGTGATTCCAGAGTGTGCAGTCATTCTGTTTAACCAGGCTTAGTGACATCATCAACGACTGCCCTCACCTTGACTGGTTTCCCAGAGCATACTTCTGGAAAAGTGAGGGGTCTGAGGGAGGGTATGTGACTAAGATCCAGAGGACAGGAAAATCCCCCAGAAGCCACACTTTAAAACCATAAGCAAAGTGGTGACCCAGATGGTTAGATGATGCAGACATAGACTAAGAGTGTGATTCGTTTTCCATTTTTATTGGGCACTCACAGATTCTAGACACTATACCGAGCCCAATCCCAGACAAAGCTCCCGTTCTAAGAGCTTATGATCTAAATTCCTTGTGGAAAGTCTGTCTTTGAAATGTTTAAGGCACCTCATTTAATCTGCATTTCCACTTCAAGTCATGTACCTCCTTCCTGAAAAACCCACCACATTTAAAGTTTGTAGCTGGCCTTCCTTCTGTTTTTGCTGTTTACGTGCCAATTTAAAGAGTGGAGAGAGCCACATTAGTTTTAAAATAAAACACAAATAGCAGAATGAGGCTTGGTTAAAGTAAAAACCACAGAAGGGATTTTTTTTCCTTTCATACTTTTCAGATTTTCCTAGAACCACCTTTATTTCCTCAGAGCCCAGCCATAGAAAGTGAGTGGGCCTCTCCGGATGCTCTTCCAAGAGAAAGCTAAAGCCTCGTGCTTATTTTCTCATTGCATCTTTAGGTTTTGTTTTTCTTTTTAGACAATTGAATCCCAAATGGGGGCTCAGAAAGCTATTGAAGCCCCTAATTCACATGTGGTATTTCCAAGTACTCTGAATAGACAGATTTCGGTTTGTTTTTGCATGATTTGTATCCTACCTCTTCTGTTCAACTGTATCAGCTTGTACATTCTGGGTGATGGGAGCATGATTTTAAAGTCACATTCTCCTGGTGGATTGCCAGCACTGCCACTTAGCAGTTTTGTGACCTCACCTGTCAAATGAGAATAATGATGCACACCTCTCAGGGCTGCAGTGATGATTAAGGAGTCAAGACACAGAAAGGGCTCAGCACAAAACAAGCACTTAATACACTGTAGCAACTATGAAAATAGATCCTTTCATTTATCTGCTCCTTCCTTACCCATCCTCTCCTGCTATTTTGGAGAAAGAAGGAAAATTACCTATTCCAAGTGGATGATTTATCCCACGAGGAGAGAGAAAGCCAAGTTTGACCTGCAAACACCTGGGCCTTTTAAAGGGATGGGATCAGTGTTCTTGCCTCTCAGCAAGAGGCGATTAAACCAGCAATGCAGGGCCTGGGGAAGCTTGGGAGGCCGATGGTGGGGTGGCAGGAGCACTGAAGATGAAGAGTGATTAGGAAAGCAGGCCCAGAGCTGAGGTGAGGGGCCAGAGGGGCGCCAGCCATTGGGACAAACCGTTACTTTGGCGTTCTGAGTCTGTGGGTCTGCAGGTCGAAGCTCGCCCGCCCAGGGGTCTGGTGACTGTGGGACCCGAAGCGCGTGAGGCAGCGCCCTCTGCCGGCCGCTCCGGGCAAGTCATCAGCCCCGCGCCTGCCCGTCGCTCTGCAGGTGGGACCCGGGATCCCTCCCGCTGCCTCCGCCCCCGCTCCATCCCTTCTGAGCACCGTGCTGCCGGGTCCCCGACCGGATTCTTGGAGACGCGTTTCTATCTGACGCCTGCGGGCAGAGCAGAGACGATGCTCGGAAACATTCGATTCACACCTGGGGATCGGAGGCCGCGGAAACCCACCCAAACTCCGCAGAGGCTGCGCCTCTTGGGACCCGGGGCCAAAGCTTGCTGGGCTGTCGGAGGCAGTTTGGAAGTGGCATCGCTTATGGCCAAGACCGCGGGTTCTGCGGACAGAGAGGAGCCCTCGGTTCGCTTTCTGCCTCATCCATTTTCCAGCTAGGTGACCTTGGGCAAGGTACTTAAATTTCCATGTGCCTTAGTTTCCGCATCTTTAAGATGCAGAGGATGATCCCGACCTTAGTGGGGTGACATGAGAAGTACATGGGATCAGACAGCCTGGGTTGGAATTCTGGCACTGACATCGGCTAGCTGTGTGCCTGGGGCAAGTTACTTAACCTCTCTGTGCCCTGGTTTCCTGCAAAATAGGGATAATAACGGTACTTACCTCCGAGGGTTGTTGCCTGCAAAGCGCTTAACACAGTGCCTGGTACAGAGTAAGCGCTCAATAAATGGTGGCTATTATGGTTGTTGTCGTTATTATTGTTCTTAAGACCGCTGAACACGCGAGCAGAACTCTAGCTGGCGGCTATTATTAGTCTCTTTCTTGGGTCCAGCTATTTCTTTCCGGGCATTGTTAAAATCTTTTGCCATGCGCTCACGTCCTTATCAGTAGCAAAAGGACAGCCGGCCTTCCCGAATTTGGAAAATCGAGGTTCCCCTGGAGGAAGGCCAAGGACGCGGCAGAGGGCTGCAAGGACCGGGACCTCCCCGGAGGACGCCCGTGCCTCCATTAGCGCGCGTCAGAGCCGCAGTGACGTCGCTAGGTCCGCGGGAGGTGGGGAGGAGGGGCCTAGATACGCGGGGAGCCTGGGGTGGCGGGGATGGCCGGGGTGGCCCGGCAGCGCGGGTGCCCTGCGGTTCCCAGCGGCTGCGGCCGAGGCAGCCCGAGTTGCTGCGGGAAGGCCCTGCCTGGGTTGGCTCTGCAGCGCCTGCCCGAGCGGGGTGCGCTCGGGCTCCGCCTGAAGTGCCGCGGGGAGGCGGGAGATGTTAACATCTGCCCACATCTGCCCCGGGCCTGGGGTCCCGCAGTCGGACGCGGGGCGGACCTCCCAGCGGCTGGTCAGAGTCTGCGTGATCCTTCCCCTCCTGTTCTCCAACCCCCACCCCATTCCTTATCGTCCCTCAGCGCCCTGCTCAGCTTTTTCCCCTGCCCTCCTGGACCAACTAACTCATTTGCTGTGCTTGGATAATACCACCCAAAGGAGGCGCCTCCCGCTCCCAGCTTTGCGTCCGCAGCCCCGGCGCGCCCATCCCGTTGTTTGCCCGACAGTTCCACTTGACTTGCCCTGCACGAACCCCCAACTCGCCGCGTCTTGCTACTATTATTGTCCGTCTCAGTGATGGCACCGAGACCCACCCCATCATCCAGACACCTTGCCTTCCCTCCTAATTGCCTTCCTTCCTAAATACCTCTCTAGGCACTCTTCATTCTTTATCCTAATTCCGGCTGGCCTGGTTTAAGCTATTAACATTCCCCTCAAAGATCTCCTTGTCTGCACCTGCCTCCTTCACATCCGTCCTCCACACACTGCTTGAGCAGCCACCTACAGCCCATGTCCGGCCAAACCTCTCTTGGCTTAAGGCTGGCCACCCAGCCTGGGACCCTAAGGCCTCTGTCATGGACACGATCGTCTTCCATTTTCTACCTAACACCCAGTAAAGGACCCCACTGGGACCACAATACCGAAGGTTCTTAGTGTCTATTATTGTTGGGCCCTATCCAGGGAATTTGCATCTCATCTCCCTTCCTCCCTTAATTGGCTTCCTCTTACTCATTCTCCAATACTCATGAGGTGAGTCACCTCTTTAAGGATGCCTTCCCCCGTTCCACTATCAGGCTGAGTGAGGTATCTCTGGCCCCTCAAAGCTTTCTATCCCTACTGCTTTCAACATATTGGGCATAAAGACTTGACCCTTCAAGATGACCTATGAGGCCCTGCATGGTTTGTGCCCATCCCCACCCCCGACCCCTCATTCAGTCAAATCCTCCTTTGATAGATCAAAGCATATAAAAACCTACAGAGAATAATATCATTGACACTTGTTTATTCTCTGCTCCTCCCCTATCCCCCTTCTTTGCCAAAGCATAACATTTGCTATATTTTCTTCAAAAAATTTTAAGGACTTTAAACTTTACAGATCTAGGTGGAACCCACAGAAGCCATTTCTGTCCTTTCCCTAAGGTAACCACTCTTCTGCATTTGGGGTTTATCATTCCCACGCACACTTTTGTATTTTTACTACTTATATTTGCGCCTATAAACATTTTATAGAATTATTTGGCATGCTTGTAAACTTTGAAGAAATGGCATTATACTGAATATAACATTTGCAACTTGCTTTTTTTCATGCAGCATTATGATTTTGAAATGTATCCACACTGATACATGCAATTCTAGATCATACATTTTCACTGCTGACTAGGGTCCCATTGTCCAAGTTCACCACATTTTACTTACTCATCTCCTTCTGGAGGACATTCAGCTTATTTCCAGTTTTTGTCGTTGTTGTTGTCGTTAGCGCTACAATTAATATTTTTATACTCTTCCCCCTGTGTGAAAATAAGCCATCTGGGTAGATACTTGGATGTGAATTACTGGGCTCAGGTCATGTGAAATGGCAGCTTCACTCGGCATGGCCAAAAGGTTTTACAAAGTGGTGGTACCAATTTACTCTTTGATAGCAATATATAAGAGTTCCCATGCTTGGCATCCTCAACAACACTTGGTAATGTCAGACTTTAAAATTTTTGCCAAGCCGATGGGTGCAAAATGGTATTTCATGTTTTAATTTGCAATTCCCTGTTTACAAGATAGACTGAGTATACTTTCATTTGTTTATTGGACACTTGTCTTCCGTCTTTTTCGAATTGCCCCTTGGTTCATTTGACAATGCTCCTGTTGGATTCTCTCTTATTATGTGTAGGAGTTCTTTATATATTCTAGATACTAATCTTTTGTCAGGCTGTAGCTCATCTGGTGTCTTTTACTCTATTCAATTGCCAGTTTAAATCTGTGTGAATGATTTGGTTAATTTCTGACTTTCCGACTAGACCATAAGCTCCATGAGAAGACGGACCATGCCCTGAAATTAATACGGTGTCTAACACATACCAGTAACTCTAATAAATACTTCTGGAATGAATTGTATTGACATTATTTGACTTTTTATAATGCTTGCTTTCTCAGCACTCACCCTCAATGACCCATAAGGCTAAGAACTCCTTGAGAGCAGGATTATGGAGCGATTTTATTCACTTTTGCATCTCTGTCTTTGTATTTATTACAACATAACATCTCTGGCACAAAGTATATAGCCAATCATTTTTGCTTGATTTATTTCCTTTGAACATTTTCTTTCTTTCTTTTTTTTCCTTTCTCTTCAACCCATGTTCTATCTCTAAGCCCAGTTTTATTATCTATAAAAACGAATGAATAATAAAAACCTCCTTGGCTATTTGTGAGAATCACACGATATAGTGTATGCAGGTAAGTAGAGCAGTGCTTAGCACACAGTTGGTACTCAATAAATGGTGACTTTTGTTATTCCCAAAATAATCATTTTGGTGACTATAGATAAGCTCCGTTTGATTTTAACAGACAAAGTTCTTTTAGAGAGAGAATAAAAGTGAACTTCCTGAAGATCTGGTGAGCGGGTTTTTTTCCCCCCTCCATTGGCATTTGACCTACTACATAAGGCTCAGTCCCAACACTGAAAAGATCTCTGAAAAGCATCAAATATCATTCTTCTCCTTTTCTTTTATAAATTCCAGACATATCAAAGGCACATGAACCATACATAGAATTCAAACCTTTAAGTGGAAACATATAAAGGCCAATTCCACGTCTTTGGCCAGAAGTCAGAGAGCAGAAAGGAGGTCTGTCAGTGATACCAGGGGTGGGAGCTAGTGGCTGCAGCCAGGGACAAAAGCAGAATTCTTACATCTGTTTCCTACATCTGCCATTGATTGTGTGACCTTTGATCTATTTATAAAATGAAGATAATAATTCTTGCTTTTTCTGGAGGTTGAACTTTATTAATTACTCATCTTTAAACGCTTTGAGATCCTCAACATGAAAGGCAGTTGGGCCTTATTTAAACAGCTCTCCCAACAAGTAAATGGCCTAGCCACATCTGTCAATACAACCCAGGAATCTGATCTCCATGTCACCAAAAAGTGAGGTTCAGGAAGTGGATTTGTTCACCTTGAGTTGTAAGTTGCTGACAGACAGGGAGAACCCCCTTCATCTCTGGCTTCGAGCTTGCAGGAACGAGGAATCTCAGGGCAGCCTCATTTCGTGAAGATGTAACACTGCACAGAGGCCCCTCATCTCTAGGGTTTCATCTCTGCCTGAGGAAAGCAGGTGGCTGCGCTGCATCCACTGCAATGTGAGCCCACCAGAGAGAACAGAGCCACAGTGACTGCTGGCAGAGGTCTCTCCCCAGAAGGCCCTAAAGAAGCTTTGCTGGGAGATGTAACCAGAGAAGGTGGTCTAAACCAGAAAGCAGCATTGGTAGGCCCCTTTAGAGGCTGACCTCCTCAGCTCAAAGATCTGGGAATAGACCAGATAGAACGAGATGGGAGGGCTGAGATCTCTGTGTGACAGCTCCTTATAGCAGCATTCGAGAGTTAAGCTGACCCCTACTGTGGCTGTTGGAACCAGCAATAACATGTGGTAGTTCAAGGAGCCAGACTAGGCTTTAAAATCCAACTGCAAAACTTACCAGCTGTGCAATTTGATTGCTAAACCTCTCTGAGCCTCAGCGCTTCAGCTGTGGGCGGGGATAATAATAACACCAACCTGTCAGAGTTAGTAGGCAGATTAAAGGAGAAAAGACATGTGACAGTGTGCCACAGGTGGAAGAGTTTCAATCAATACTCATTAAAAAGATTAAAACACAAAAAATCATTTAAGAGTGAGCAAAGCTCACCCCCCCTTTTTTTTTTAAAGTAATTTTCTTTCTCTTTATTCTTAAAGTATTACTTGTACTTGATAACAAATGAACAACAAAACATAACAGTGGAAAATGAGCATCTCTGCCATGGGAACCTAGTGTCACCCGTTTCTCTTCCCTGGTGATAATAGATATTCCCAAGTTCTGGTGGATCTTTCCAGAGATATTCTATGCATATATAAGGGTTTTTGAGAATTTAAAACTGCCTCCTTTATACACAGATAACATGCTATATATGTTCTACTTAGACTTTGCATTTTTTTTTTCACTAAACAATGTATCTTGAAATTAATTCTCTATCAGCATATAGAGGTGCCTCATTCTTTTTAAGGCTGCACAGTATTACATTTATTTAGCTAGTCCGCTATGGGTAGACATTTAGGTTTGTATTCTATGGCTGCTGTGGCAAATTACTACAAATCTAGTGCCTTAAAACAACACAAACTACCTTACAGTTTAGAAGTCTGAAATGGGTCTCGATGGGCTAAAATCAAGGTGTCAGCAGGACTGTGTTCATTTGAAGACTCCAGGGGAGAATCTGTTTCCTGGCTTTTCTACCTTCTAGAGACCACCTACATTCCTTGGCTTGTGTCCTTTTCTTTTATCTTGAGAGCCAGCAAACTAGTTTGAGTTCTTCTCAAACCACATCACTCTCTCTTTTTCTGCTTCCTGCTTTCACTTTTAAGGACTCTTGTGATTACACTGAGCTGCCTGGGATAATCTGGGATAATCTCTATTTTAAGGTCAGCTGTTAAGCAATCTTAATTCCATCTGCAACTTTAATTCCCCCTTGCCATGCATAGTTACAGGTTCGGGGATTAGAATGTAGACATTCTGATGTGTGTGTGTGTAGGGGGGCATTATTATGC